AGGAGCCATGTAGTCTCCTGGTGTGTCCTTCTCAGGCAAGAGGCCATTGTGTGCTCCACAGGTGTTAATTGGCAACCCTTCAAGCCATTGTTCATGCAGCATTGAGCAACCACCACTCCCAGTGGGAAACATTTTAAATATAAATACAAAGCCCATATTCATTACTTTGCACACACAGATTGTACAAACTACATGAGTAGCCTAGACAGAGTCGGCACAGCATAAGCTTTCGTTTGACATCTCACATGGCCCACTTTGCACCACGTTTGGGGCAAACACACACTAGTGGTTTCAGAGGGGTAGCTGAGTTAGCCTATAACAAAAAAAACTTAAAAAACAACAATTAGTCTAGTAGCATCTCAAAGACTAAATAGCTAAAAGAGGCTGATAAGAACCATTAGTTAGCACTTGGAATGGAAGATGACCAACACTAGATTCTACACAGACATTAAGAACCATTAGCACCTTCATTTATTGGTTGGTTGATAATGTGTGAGCCATCCGATATCACATTCAAACCATTAGTATAAGAATTAAACTTGTGAATGAAGTTAAGCTCCAATCCTTCTCTGTGTATGTGGCTTGTGGAATTGGTCTGAAACAAAACAGTGACTTGGAGATCCATTAATGAATGTCCAGGAAGATTAAAGTGTTCTCCAACAGGTTTTTGTGTGTTGCCTTTTTGTGTATCTGATTTGTGTCCATTAATTCTTCTCTGTGGAGACTGTCCAATTTGTCTGATATACATTGCAGTGGGGCATTGCTGGCATTTGATGGCATAGATCACATTAGTGTATGTACAGTTAAATGAGCCTCTGACTTGGTGGCTGATGTGGGTCCAGTGATGAAAACGCTTGTGTAGATGTGTGGGCAGAGTTGGCAACGGGGTGATTGCAGGGGTGAATTCCTGGATGCTTATGATGTAGCTGTGCCACGTGGTCACCGGAAATAATTTGTTTCAGGTTAGGGGGCTGTCTGTAAGTGAGAATTGGCCTTTCCCCCAAGGCCTCTTGAGAGTGAGGGGTCATTTTTCCAGGAGAGGTTGTAGATTTTTGATGATGTGTTGGAGGGGTTTAAGTTGTGGACTGTAGGGGTACGTCTAGACTACAGGCTTCTGTCGACAGAAGTTTTGTCAACAGATACTGTCAACAAAACTTCTGTCGACAAAGAGCATCTAGACTACATTGAGTTCTGTCGACAAAGCAAGCTGCTTTGTCGACATGGTAGTGTAGATGCAAAGGACAGTTTACATGCAATAACACCTTCTGTCGACAGAAACTCTGTCGACAGAAGGCGTTATGCCTCGTAAAATGAGGTTTACCAGCGTCGACAAAACTGCTGAGTTCTGTCGACGTTATGTCGACAGAACTCAGCGGTAGTGTGGACACAGGTATAGTTTTGTCGACAAAAGTCCAGTTTTGTCGACAAAACCCTGTAGTGTAGACCCACCCTAGGTGATGACAAGTTGAATTCTGTTGTTTTCTCTTTTGGGCCTGTCTTGAAGTAGTTCATGTCTGGGTACTTTTTTGGCTCTATCAATCTGTTTTTTCACTTCTCCAGGTGAGTATTTCAGTTTTAAGAATGCTCTGTATAGATCTTGTAGATTTTTGTCTCTGTCTGTGGGATTGGAGAAAATCCGGTTGTATCTTAGGGCTTGGCTGTATACAATAGACTGAGAAATGTGTCTGGGATGGAAACTAGAGGCATGAAGGTAAGTGTAGCAGTCAGTGGGTTTCCAGTATATGCTGGTGGAAATTTGTCCATTATTTAATTGTACACACTAGTGGGTGCAGCAGTGATCTGCTTACTTACATTAAAACCCAATAACGTGACAGGGATTAGGATAGTCTCTTCATGTCTTTATGCTGCCTGTGTGCCTGTTCATGCACTCTGAGCAGACAGCCGTTTAAAATGAACATAAAGAAATGTTAGGCACGTAGTTTAAAAGAATCTTTGGCTGCTCTCTGCTCCTTGCTTCAGCCACAGCTAAGGAGCTGTGATGCAATAGGGTAGCAGTACATCCAGTCATCTAGTTCAATATCCACAGGTTTCTTCTGCTGCTATGGCCACTTCCTCCTTATTTAAAACATTGTTCTAAGATAGGGATGGTCAGTGTGCAGGCTACCCGGGGAAGAGAGGACAACCACAGATCTCGCTCACCACAGCAGCTCGAGACCAGGTGAGAAGTGCCTGTCCATGGCTGTTGTAGCTCCAGCAAGCACAGCTGGGGCACAAACAGACACACAGGCCAACTAACACACCAACAGACAAATTCTCTGAAATGTATAGTAGATAACTGCTCCTTTCTCCATCTTTGCCCCCTGCTGGCCCAGTAGGGTTATATGTATCCCAGTCCCCATCTCTGGCCCTTTGCTGCTCTCCTGTGGTCATTCTGTAGTATAACTCCCTCCTGCCAGACCCCTCTCTTTCCATTCATAAGAAACAATCAAATTCGAGGCACATCCCATTTTCCTGGCACAACCAAACCCTTACCTTCTTTCAGTTATGATAAAAGGTAGCTGCATACCAAATTTGATGGTTCTGGGTCTTACCGTTTAGGAGCAGTTCTTGAACAAATGGACTTACAGGCAGACAGGTACACATTTCTAAAATATATAGTACTAGAAGACTTACCCAGAATTGCCCAGATCCTTCAGGGCTGGGGGCTAGCTGGGTGAGGGGTGCAGGAGACATGGCAGGGTATTGGGAATGGGGGGGCTCAGGGCAGGTGACTGGAGTTGTAGGGGTGCAGGAGTCAGAGTGAGGGGTTGAGAAGGTGCTCAAGGTAGGGGGCTGGACATGCATTGGGTGCAAGAGTGAGGGTTGAGGGTAAGGGGGGGCTCAGGGCAGGGGATGGAGGGTGCAAGGGTCAGGAGGAAGGAGGCTCAGGAAAGGGGGTGAGGGTGGCTGCCAGCTTGTCCCTGGGGTGGTGGGACTGTGCACCTGCCCACCAGCTTGTCCCTGGGATGCATGGGACGGCTATACACCCTGCCTGCTGGTTTGTAGCTGGGGAGTGGGCCAGGATGGGGGGACCCAGAGAGTGGGGTGCTGCACTGGCTACCCCCCCCCCCCCGCCAGTACTCCCTGGTCCCAGTCCAGTGAGATTGGAGGGGGTGGCCGCATAGGCCAGCCCCATTGGCACTCCCTGGACCTGAGGGAGGATAGGGAGAGTGATGTAGGGTGACCTGTTATGCTATACAAAGCTCGCAAGATCTTTTATAGGGGAGAAGGCAATATGCTGCATTTATTGAGACTACAACAGTTAGCATATGCTTTTCAGTCACCCACACACACCACGCACACAGTCCCGCCAGTTGGTTACCAGTCCAGAGTCTGAATCAATCTAGTGGCCAGCCAGATTGCTCGCAGAGGGAAGCTGGGCTTTGTCGGTCACGATCTGATGTTCCTGGAGTTGGTGGCAAGACCAACCCACAGTCCCATAGCAAAGCACTCTATTCTTATAATCCTCTATCCTTTGTTGAAGTCTATGGATTTCGCTGTGTCAGCTTGTGACCGGTTCCTGTTATCTTTTGATGTTAACATTCTAAAACACCTCAGAGAGGCTCATCCTGTCCTGGATTGCTAATCAGTTGTTTTTAGGGGTGCCAGCTCCACCTTAGAGTCGTCAGTCTGCCAATCCCTGATCATGGATACGCACTGATGGTTCTTTGGCATTGGTAAGTCTCTTCATCCACTCTTCTCTTGACCATCTGATTTTGACAACAGCCTTCACACCTTATCTCTTTCTGATGATACATTCTTCATTCACACAGTCTTTCACAGAGATACAAACAGCAGTGTTTTATATTGAGCAAAAGCAAAAAGCATTAGAAATTAAACCTTACTAATCTTGTAATCAAAATAGTTCACATTGAAGGCCCAGATCTTCAGCATTCCTCTAATCTTATTAACAGGGCTTGACAATCTATGTAATCTACTCATCCGTGGCGAGTAGATTACATCCCGGAAGAGCCAGGTTCGGGCGATCTGCACGTGCGCAGAACGATCTGCGCATGCACAGAACACTGGACAGCGTGGCTCGGCAAGCCCTGCTTATTAACATAGACACAATACAAGATCCTTTTACTTACTAAACCTTAAAAATAAAGAAAGCTTACTTACTAAACCTTAAAAAGAAAGAAATGTATATTTAACTAAAGGGCCTAGTGCAGGTCACAAGAAAAAAGGGTGGCTATCAGGATAAAATTAAAACAAAAGGAAAAACTATGTAGCACTTTAAAGACTAACAAGATGGTTTAATAGGTGATGAACTTTTGTTGGCCGGACCCTCTTCCTCAGACCACGAAAGCTCATCACCTATTAAAACATCTTGTTAGTCTTTAAAGTGCTACATAGTCTGATCTTGCTAAAAGAAAAGGAAAAACTAACACGGCTACCTCTCTACTACTATTCAGGATAAAATTAAGTCATACATTACTACATTATTAAATGTGAAATACAAATATAAAATCCTACTCCTACAGTGCTGGGGGGACCAGGATGTAGCTCCTACAGGAGGTGGTGGGACTGCTGGCTGGTGGGGCTTCTCCCTCCTCCAGTGCTGTGACCAAGGGCCAGGGAGAAGGTTTTAGGCCAGGGAGAAGGTTTTAGGGCAGAGGGGCTACTTACCTGGTCTGGCATCAGTAGTCACTCTGCAGCATAGCATCCATCTGATCAGCTCCCTCCATTTCCATATTATGGAAAACAATCCCATTCTAGGCAGATTCAATGTTCCTGGCACAACTGACCCCTCGTCTTGCTTTGAAATAGGAGATGAAGAAGCTGCATATCAAATTTGGTGGCCCTAGCTCTTACCGGTTAGGAAGAGTTCTTGAACAAACAGACTTGCACATAGACAGACAGACAGATGCACATTTCTAAAATATATACAGTAGATAGAAGATTGGTTTGTACTACATTATAATACAGATTAGCATAAAAAGGGAGGGAAAGGGACAGTTCAGTTACTTATTTGATTTATTTTCTTTACTGTATCTCAGATTGAACTGTGCTGGAACTATGGCACCTCTATGAAGTGGCTCATTCTCTCCTCTGCCATCGCTAGGTCTGGTCTCACAAATGAGGAACCAGTGAACTATCTAGAAAGAAGTATGAAGCTGTTACAGTACCTTGAACAAAATATTTGTTGCTTTCAATGATTACAGAATAATAAAATCATTTAGGCTGAGGAAGTGCTATGGCTATGGAGCTTCTAAAATGGAAAAACTTAATGCATTTGACTCATGCATCTTTGAACTGCTCTTCAGAACTCAGCATTTTCCTTCTGGCTCAGAGAGATATGTTTTCATCACAATAAACATTTGCAATGGTGTGGAAGCTATACATTCAGACACCAGTGCCTAATGGCTTCTGTGCCCAGGGAGTTGAGTTTTACATTCATTCATGCTTATAATTTGGAGCCTGAAAGGTATTTAACAGCAGAATAGGAGATAGCCCAGAGTTTATTCTTTTGATCTCATTGTATTAACATCGACTATATTTTGGATATTTTTATGGATTTTATAAACTCTGCATTGGAAGAAAAAACAAAGATAAAAGTTAGGGCTTAATAGTTCTTTGAGTGCTTGCTTATGTCCATTCCGTCTAGGTGTGTGCACAAGTTCCGGAAGCTTTTTGCCCTTAGCAGTACCCGTTGGGCCAGCAGGGGAGCCCCCTGGAATGGTGCTGATATATCCTAGCATATAACCGCCTGCTGGCCCTCCACCCCCTCAGTTCTTTCTTTCCACCATGACTGTTGCTGGAACACTCTGCTTGCCTTTGCAAGTGTGCCCTTAGCTTTCTTATGTAAATAGTTTCTCCTTAGGAATAGTTAGCAGTTGATTGTTAGTAGATAGTGATTAGATAGTGTAGATAGTAGTTTTCCTGCTTCCCTCCCTGAGGAGGACATGCTGGGACCCCAGGGCTTCAAACTCTGTAAACAGTGCTCCAAACCCATGCCCCGGGGAGTCCACACAAAGATTGGTTGAAGTGCCTCCCTGAGGGCCATTTAACTAACGCATGCAAGATCTGCAGGTCCTTTAAGCCAGGTACGCAGAGGGAGAGAGACTCCAGCTTAAGCTTCTGTTAATGGAGCCAGCACTTCAGCCCCGGGTGCTGGAGCCAGCACCCTCGGTAAGGAGCGCACCGGCGTCAACTAGAGAGACAGGGGGCTCCAAGGCACACGGCGCCTTCCCGGCACTGATTGGCACTGATCTCAATCGCCGGTGCTGTCGACTAGTAAACGGGTGTTAAGTGAAAGGTCTCTGTGGAAGCGGGACTGGAGCGCCTGCCCCTGGGAGCTGGTGCTTCAAGGGAGGAGCCCAGTAGGATCGGGAGCCCAAGGGGGCCGGGACCTGTCCCTGGAGGAGGTCTGGAGGCCATCTATGCCAGAGACATTCTCTGTGGCCCGGGAACTGATAGAGCTCATGGCCTCCCCACGCCCGGCACCACGTGGCACAGAGGAGCATGCGGGCTGTGAGACCAATGTGCCTAAGCTGGCCCCGGCACTGCACCTGGCACTGCCCAGGCAAGAGCCAGGCTCGGCACCGCCAGCACCGCTGTCCGTGGTGCAGGAGGCACCATGGAGGAGAGCGCCTTTTCCTGTGGAATCTGCACCGCATCTGGCGGCATCGCACACTTTGGCTCCAGAGTCCCATGCCATGCTACCCCCGCCGGTACCACCTGTACCCCATAGAGGGAAACCGGCTGCCATGGATCACCATGTGGTGCGGGGGGAACCAGGGTCTTCTGCACTGCCGTGGTCGGTGTTGGAATACTCTTCAGAGCCCGATGCAGAGTCTCTGGTCTCGTCTGCCTCCTCTTGATGGTCGGCTGCATCTAGGGTCTCTCGCTCATCCCGTAGGTTGGTGTACTGCTCCAGGTCGGGTCACTGGAAGCTAGTTTACCCTAATCCTTAGCCCACTGTAACCCCTTTCAGAAGATCATCTCGTTTTTCCAAAGTGAAACATGTCAGATGTACCTTCCTAACCCCAATTATACCGTCCCCCCACAAAAAGTTCATTGTCTTTACTTGTAAACAGGACACCCCCTGCTGGTTGTGTTTTTCCCTGCAGCAATCTATTAATTAGTATTTGACTCAATATGCAAATAGATGTCAAATGTAAAATAAACAACAATCAGTCAAAAAGTTAAGTGTCTCCTATTTCCAGTCTGGAGAAGTCTGTCTCAAGTCATGCTATTTTGAGTGATCAGCCATTAACTACAAAGCCTTAAGAATATGATTTCCAATACACATAATATTATTCTTACTTGATCCATATGCACATTTCACAAAGATTACAATAATCAGTATGGCACAAATTTTACATGATACTCTTTGCTTAACTAGAATGTAAAATACCATAGCTTGGGGATCCCTGCTACCTATATGCTCCTCCCTACCACCTTCCTATGTCAGTTCACATCCAGAGGTCCTTGGGTCACACCCATTACAAAGCCACTGCTAGTTCAAATGAGATGTTCATGTAATGATGAAGCCCTAATTCCTTTCTATGAATCCAGTTCAACAGGCCTACTATGCAAAATCTCCAAGTGTTTTAGGAAAAAAAAGGCTCACTATCATCTCAGTCTTTCTATGGGAAGAAAATAATTGGTTCATGTGTACATTCAGTAGTTGCTAGAATCTGACTCATAGTATTAAACCAAACCTTCTGTTCAGACTGTTAATATTGTATTCCTAGTGATATTCCTTGTCCATGATCACTTTGAAGTTGATTAGCTTCATAAATCAAGCAAGCACTGTCCAAAGGAACAGGCATTAAATCAGCAAAGAAAAGTATGATAGATAAAAATGTTGAGAAGTTAATTTAGAATAGTTCTTACCGTTGATCTTTGTAGTTCTCTTGTGCAAAAAGAAAACTAATATTTAAAAAATGAGAAGAAACATGAAAATTCTAAAGAGCAAACAGCGTTGTGTACAGGAGTGTCATGACACCAATAAGACGAAGACAGTTCATACCACAAAGAACTTGCAAAGCTCAGTTCTATTCTCCGATACGATCAGAATGTGCTTCAACTTAACTACTACAAACTGCTCCTCTACCGATACACACATGCCTTAGAACTGATCTTTCAAATTACAACTTGCATCAATGTGGGAAAAGATGGTTACTTACCTCATAACTGTTGTTCTTCGAGATGTGTTGCTTATGTCCATTCCGTCTAGGTGTGTGTGCGCCCCGGGCACAAGTTCCGGAAGCTTTTTGCCCTTAGCAGTACCTGTTGAGCCAGCAGGAGACCCTCTGGAGTGGCTCTGGTATATCCTAGCATATAAACCCCTGCTGGCCCTCCACCTCCTCAGTTCCTTCTGGCCGGAGATTCCAACGAAGGTGGAGGTGGGCGGGATCGGAATGGACAAAAGCAACACATCTCGAAGAACAACAGTTACGAGGTAAGTATCCGTCTGTTCTTCTTTGAGTACTTACTTATGTTCATTCTGTCTAGGTGATTCCAAGCAAACCCCTAAGGCGGCGGGGTCAAAACTTAGAGCGAAACAGACTGCAGCACTGCCTGACCTACCGCTGTGTCCTGACTAGTGCTTCATTTGCATAATGGTGGCCGCGTTTTTTTCTGAAATGAGGCTTTTTGAAAGAAAAATGGCTGTTTAGATGGGGATCAATCGAAAATAAAACCCTTTTTCGAAAGATCCTGTACTCCTGAAAAAATGAGGAGTGCAGGATCTTTTGAAAAAGGGTTTTATTTTTGATTGATCCCCATCTAAACAGCCGTTTTTCTTTTGAAAAAAACCACGGCCGCCATTATGCAAATGAAGCATGGGAAATGTAAATACCGGCTTCATTTGCAATTTTGTAGTGTCGAATTTACATCCCTTTTTCGAGAAAAGGGATGTAGTTTAGACACAGCCTTAGAAAAAGGATTAAGAACTCTGTTTTAGATATGTTGATCTTAAGCTATCAGCTAGACATCCAGGAGAAGATGCCAGAGAGACTGGCCAAGATTTTAGATTGGACAGAAAGAAACCGATATGATGTAAAGAGGTAGGTCTGTGAATTGTCAGCATAGAGATGGTAGTTGAATTTGTGTTTGAGGATGACATTACTGAGAAATAAAGTGAAGAAGGAAAAAAGATGACCAAGGATGAAATTCTGTAGAACTTCCATAGATAGCGAGAGGGGGATGAAGCGGATCCTAAGAAGGATCAATTAGTAAAGTAGGAGGAGAACTTGAAGAAGTCATGGTCACATAAACCAAAGAGTATCAAGAATATCATGTTCAATGATGTCAAAGTCCCATGACAAATCTAGGAGGATTGGAATGACCTGAGCTTTGGCTAGGAAGTGGTCATTAGAGACTGAAAAGTGGAATGCAAAGGGCTACAGACAAATTGAAAAGGGTCTAAGATAGACTTGGAGGAGAGGAAGTGATGGTAAAGGTATGCATTCATGAGCTTAAAGAAAAAGGGCAGTAGATGGGAAGGCATTTGAGCTCAACAGTGCATTTTTTTTGTGATGGAAGAAACGATAGCATGCTTGTAATCGTGAACAGCTAAGGAAAACAATAAAGGAAGGCATAAGAGCTAGTTGTCTTAAATTATTCTTTTTACCCCCCACGTACAACACTAATTTTTTCTCTCCTTTGGTGCTCACATCCTTCATATGTTAGTAGAAAGTTATCTCTTCCACAGTACCTTTGTTGTTATCTGTTAGCCTCCAACAACCCAAAGAAAGATGTTTAGGATGGGATCATAAACCTGCCAGTGCTGGCTGTTTGGTGGTGGTAGGTTTTCTTGTTGTTTAACATGAGTAAAAACTTAATAGAAGGTATTCACCGAATCAGTAACCAAACACTAGAATATTTCTAGGAAACAGATGGCCCCCAGATTCAGTGTTCAAAACTATTGACGTTTTATAGTGTAAGCCTCAGTGGGCATCGAGTTCTTATGGAAAATCTATTCCATTGACATGGCTACATTACATTAAAAATTTGATGAACTGATGTGATGTACATTATCTCAATTTTAATGACCAAAATCACTTATTTTTCACACATTTTATAGGAACAATCCATTAATATACATTCATACCTTCAGATTACTTAATTCTGATTCAACAATAAGCATGTTTTAGGTATCGTTGTCTACAGTGCCCATCTAGGTACTGACAATTCTGTATTGGATGGACAATGAAGTATATTCTTTTCTACTTACAAAAGCCATTTTTTCATTTATTCCTTCCATGTTCTTTTTAGAGCATTTCTCAGCACCTTAATCAGAGAACAAGCAACTATTTTCTTCTGTATTTATAACTGCCATTAATTCTAAACTGCTTGCCATCACCATTTGTTGAACTTTCCAGAAGCTCTAATCCATTCCTATTCCTACCCCTCTCTCTCAGTGGTAATATGTTACTATCTCCACAGAAGGGTGACTACAATATTGTGTTTTCAGTGGCAGTCATGCAGAAACAGTAACATTACTCTTTCTGAATTACATTTGAGATTTGCAATGTAAAGTGATACACTATGGAATAATCAAGTCCGGGTGTGTGGGGGCAATAAAACATTATGGTCACACTAATATTTTGTTCTGAGATGTTTTCCTAAGTATGCCCTAATTGTGGTCACAATTCTTAATAAACTCTTCCGGCCATGCATACATTTTAATCTGGGAACAAATCCACACTGATGTGGATTTGAAATTGGTCAGAATTTACCATTTTAGAATGGAACATGAACTCAGTTATATGAGATCTGTAATCTGCTACTGCAAACACATGAAGAAGACTAAAAGTTATAATAAGACAATAAGCTCTCAACAATGGCTTCATGTTGAGCATACTTAGGCACCAATTTTACAAATGCTTTGATCAGTGTAGTGCTCTTTAAATCACTCTCAGTAGAATGACATGTAGTTGTTAGTATTTGTAGGATTGGGCCCCTAAACAGCAGTCAAATCATTATAAATCTCTTGTATGAAATTACTGGCACGAGTCATTAATTACATTGCTAAAGTGACGAGGAGTCCTGTGGCACCTTATAGACTAACTGAAGTGTAGGAGCATAAGCTTTCGTGGGCAAAGACATGCATCTGACGAAGTGGGTCTTTGCCCACGAAAGCTTATGCTCCTACACTTCAGTTAGTCTATAAGGTGCCACAGGACTCCTCGTCG